AGTTGTTCATAAGCATGAAAGTCATAAGCTGGACAATGCTTAGGAGAACTGATGAGATGATGGCAAGCTGGAATGGCTCCGGGATAATCACAAGCCAAAAGAAGTGGTGGAACATTGTCCCAGCATGTATTTGGTGGACCATTTGGAAGGAAAGAAACTCTAGATGTTTTGAAGATGTGGCAAGCCACGAACAAAGGATTAAGATGAATTGTATATTTTTGTTTTATTTTTGGTGTAAAGAAGCACTGGTACAAGATGTAGAATCTCTAGTAGATCTCATAGGCTCCTTGTAGCTGTTACAAGATTGGTTTTTGTCTATTTTGGGTCTTGTAACCTGTTACTCCTTAGCACAATCTTTGTGCTAGGGACTAATTTTATCAATATATTGGAATCTGTTACCTTTTCAAAAAAAAATAATCTATTTCTCCTAATGGATGTTTAATATCCAGAAATCTTGAGCATACGCCTTTTTGCAATTTTGGGGAAACAAACCAAATGAATGTATGTATTATTTTTTATGGAATGAAATATAGAATAAGAATACAAGAATTAGCTTTAAGGGCCCGTTTGGCCATAAAAAAAGATTTGTTTTTTTTCAAATTTTTTTTCACTTTTTTTTCTTCAAAATCAGCTATTGGCCATGAAAATTCAAAATTTCACTTGAAGTTGAATTTCGGAATTTGAAAAACTCCAAAAAATTATTTTTCAAAATTTTCACTTCAAAGCACTCATAAAAATTCAAAACAACTCTAAATTGTTTTATGTCTAAACACAACTCTAATTTTCAAATACCATTTTCAACTTGATTTTTTAACCACTTTTTTCGGAATTTCACAATTCTTATGTCCAAACGCCCACTAAGTAGAGTAGAGTATGTGAAGACAAAGCTGCCCTTAAATTAGGCAATCCCTACATATCAATGTGTTACTATTTACTGCATAACAATCCCATGCATTATTATTCAATGCGTAGCTGTCACGACCCGGATTTCCCACCCTCAGGAGTCCTGATGGCGCCTACTAATGGGAGCTAGGCAAGCCAAACCTGAACTACTTGCTACACTTTCATTTTAACAAACACAAGTCGATAATATGATAAAAGCGGAATTTTTAAATAAATAAACGGAAGTCAACAATTATATATCTTAAGGCTATGTCTATTACAACTTTTAAAATCTCAAATACCCCAAAACCTGGTGTCACAGTGTCACATACAAGGTCTGAAGAAATATAATACACTGTTTCTGAACAAAAGGAAATGAAACAGAAAATAGAGGTAGAGGGAGATACCTGGGCCTGCGGACGCCTATAGGTCAACCTTGGGTCTCCGAGTGGACTGAAAGAAGCCCTCCAACTACTGTCCGGAAGCTTCTCCTGGATCTGCACACAGTGCAGAGTGTAGTATCAACACAATCGACCCCATGTGCTGGTAAGTGTCTAGCCTAACCTCGGCGAAGTAGTGACGAGGTTAGGACCAGACTACCAAATAAACCTGTGCAGTTCATATATATGTACAATGGAAAAGAAATACAGACATAACCAGTCAATGTGGGAGGGGGAACCATGCTGTGAGGGAGCCAATAGTTCCGAATAGTAAGGCACCAAATAAGGAAAGAAACGACATAATGAGAATATCAACAAGGAAGCAGAAATCAACAATTGCACGACATCACCCTTCGTGCTTTTACTCTTAGCCTCACCAAAGCAGTTTTTATAATAAAAATGTGCGCGGCATCACCCTTTGTGCTTTTACTCTCGTCCTCACCAAAACAATGATATAATCAAAATGTGCACGTCATCATCCTTCGTGCTTTTACTCTCTTTCCTCACCATATAATTAATAGAATCGGCACGGAATGGTACATCGTGCGGCACGACATCACCCTTCGTGCTTTTACTCTCTTTCCTCACCATATAATTAATAGAATCGGCACGGAATGGTACATCGTGCGGCACGACATCACCCTTCGTGATTTACACTCTTTCCTCACAATAACAAACAATGCACGACATCACCCTTCGTGATTTACACTCTTTCCTCACAATAACAAACAATGCACGACATCACCCTTCGTGCTTTTACACTTTCCTCACCCAAACAACAATCACAAACAAAGGGGCAAGGAAATAAAGAAAATAATAATAGAAGTCTCGGCAAGGGAACACTATTAAACAATTAAATCCCGACAAGGGAACAACACCAATAATCTCAACATCCCGGCAAGGGAGATAATCAACAAAGCAACAATATCCTAGCAAGGGAACCATTTAATTACTCTTTCTTTCACTTTTGTTTCATAACTCACTTTACCACTTTAGCCCATGCTCCGAAGGGTTCAATCATCTCATATACTTTCGCATATAACAACGAAATCAAGATATTCCCAATTTAAAGACTCACGGTCATGCTAGACACCAACGCATAGATACTCGTCACCATGCCTGTACGTCGTACTCAACGATTACCACATAGCAAATAGGACTCAACTCCTAATCCTTCAAGCTATGGTTAAACCAAACACTTACCTCGATGCACAAACACAACTCAAGGTTCAATTATAGCTTTACCCCTTGATTCCTCCGCCAATTCGCTCGTATCTAGCCACAAGTACTTAATTACATCAATAAACGCTAAATGAATCAACCCCAGTGCATAAAAAATGAGTTTTCCAAAGTTTTACCCAAAAAGCCGAAAATCGCCCCCGGACCCACATGGTCAAGACTCGAGGTTCGAACCAAAACTCGATTACCCATTCCCCCACGAGCCCAAGTACATGATTTGTTTTGAAATCGGACCTCAATCGAGGTCCAAATCCCCAATTTGTGAAAAACCTAGGTTCTACCCAAAACACCCAATTTCCCCCATGAAAATCATTGATTTGAGGTTGAAATCATGTTAAAAGATGTTAATGACTGAAGAAAACTAGTGAAAAATGACTTACAATTGATTTGGAGAAGAAAAGTTGTTTGAAAAATTGCCTACCAAAAATGAAAAATAACCGAAAATCCCGTTTATTTATACTATTCTCAGGTGCCCTGTGCGGACCACACAAAATGGACTGCGGCCGCACAGTCCTTCCTGAGGGTACAGAATTCCAGAGCCCACGTGCGGACCGCACAAAGTTGACTGTGGTCGTACAACCTTCCACCGCAGACCGCATATAGTCGACCGCGGACTGCACTGGCGGGTTCAGAGACATGCAACTTCTCTGAACCTGCAACATCTGGTTTTAAGCCTAAGGCATCCCGGAACCTACCCGAAACTCACCCGAGCCCTCGGAACTTCAAACCAAGTGTGCATACTAATTCAAAAACATCATATGGACCTACTCGTGTGATCACATCATCAAAATAACATGTAAAATCACGAATTCAACCTCAAACTCAACATTTTCATCAAGAACTGTCAAAGTTCATTAACTCTTCAACCGGAAGTCCAACTCACGTCAAATAAACTCCATTTTCACCAAATTTTACTGTTATCTTTCAAATACTATAACAAGTTTGTTCCGAGCTCCGGAACCAAAATACGGGCTCGATAATAATGGTTTCAAACATTAATTCTTTTCTTTATTTCTTAGATAATTCAGTAAAACAATTTCTTTCAAAAATTGATTTCTAAGGCTTGGGACCTCGGAATTCATTTCCGGGCATACGCCCAAGTCCCATATTTTACTGCGGACCTCCTGGGATCGTCGGAACACGGATCCGGGTCCGTTTGCTAAAAATGTTGACCAAAGTTAACCATAATCAAAGTTTCAACTCTAAAATTTCTATTTCTCATATTTTCACATAGAAGACTTTCCGAATATTGGTCCGGACCATTCATGTAAATCAAGGTGGGGTAAAAAGGGAGATTTTTAGGCCTCGGAACACTGAATGCACTTGCAACACAAGTGATGACCTCTTTTGGGTCATCACAGTAGCAATTCCTACATTATTATGCACCACATAAACAATCCTAGCATTATAATTTCTGCATAACTAGACCATAAACCAAGCGATCCCTAAATGTTGCAATGTGATATTTGTTGTTTAAGTGTTGGTTAAATGAATAATATATAATAAAATAATATTTCTAGTGGTTGTTGGGCAAAAGCACCACTTTCTAAGTTAGTAGCAACTTTATATGACACTTAGAAAGTGGTGCTTTATTTGTTTCATAACTTCTGATATCGCTTATTGAACTTACAACTCATGGGCATTTTGGTTTACTAGTCCCCAATTCTCTTTTGTGCGCTGCTTCTCTCTAGCTTTAGGATTGCACCGTCCCTAGAGCTTTAGTGCCTAGATGCCTCTTTCTTTTGGAAGACAGTTGATGCTTATTTTAGATTACCAGTAGTCATTGAAAATGAAGTCCACTATTTTTTCACTTTGGTACTGTGAATTTTTCCCAATAAGTTCATAATTTTCATTAAAGAGTGGCAAAAATGTGCCTGTATACAAAAGATATACCAAAAAATGGAAAACTTTACTCTACTTGCAACTGCCTTATATTTTGAGCTAAGTGCTAATGTAGTACAAGTGTACAACGAGAGAAGGGATTTCATGTACCTTAGCTTTTTCTTTATTACAATCAATGATGCAAGTGCCTTCATGCAGAACTAGAATTCTTTAGGTGCTGATCATAATTAGCTTAATTATTTAGTCACCTTGATCTCACCTACTATTCTACTGGGGCTTTGAAGCTGGTGTCCTTATCTCCTCATTTCATAAAGCTTTGCCCTTTGGTTTTTTTATTTTTTATTTTTTTAAAAGTATGCTTATGCCCTTTCTGCTCTGAAGCAGCATCTCTACTTCAGTTAGTGAGCTCCTGCAACTATGGTTAAAATTCAGTTGTGCAAGTGGCTTGTTAGTTGCCATATTATTTAAATGACCTAGCTGTAACATCCTGTAGCTAAATGACCTCTTTGTATTTTGTTGCTCCCTGCACCTTCAGCCACTTCCTTGCCTTCGATCGAATTTTAACTTTCCATATTATTTTGCTTCTGTTGCATGCAGGTACATTTTACTCGAGGCTGTATTCCCAACTCCATTTCTGAAATACGAGGGTGAATGAATTATAACTGATTAATATCGTGAATTGAATTAAAAGAAAGCAAACTCTTACATTTTCAATATGTAGGTTGGTATGTGAGGACATTTCTGGTGGACTGGAGGATATTCCTATCCCGGCAACCAATTTAGTTGATGATCCACCGGTAGCACCGACAGGCAAGTACCTATGTCTTGGTATTATGCTGTTCTGATGGCTTTCTTAATACCTCCTTCCTCATTAGCAACGACTTTCACGGTAATGCCCAAAATCATTTTATACATATGGAAAATTTTGACTTGTCTGTACTATTAACTTTTAGCTCGATCTGAAGATAAGATAGCAGAGAAGATATAACGAGGCAGTTGTCTCCAAGTTGAGACAACAGCCTCGAAAATCTATGAATTGGAAAATATCTTCTCTAAGCTTTATATTGGAGAATAAATTACTTATATTTGTGTATTTTCAGAGTGCTCATTATAATTTAACTTGTATAGATGACTGGTTGAGCTTTGTGAAAAGCCACCCTTTTCTCATGAAAAATTATTGCAATGTGTTAAATGCAATGGGGATCGGATTCGAGGGTAAGGGTTCTCTATGTTATATCCATCTCCTACCCACAAACTGTAGTGGTATTTCTCCTACACAAAGACACTCTTCCAGCCTTACATGCTTGTTTTAAGATGGCTGGAAAGGTATGTCTTAAAAGCAACACCATCCCCATCCTCTTAACTCTTTTCCAGTTGTTTCCTTACTTTTTCTTATTACGGTATTTTGTCCAAATGATTAAGGTTCATAATCTATCGAAGGAAGTTATTTTAATAGACTAATTTATCTCTTGGTTTTCATACATATTTTGCTAAAAGTATTGGTAAGAGTTAGGAAATTTTTAATATGAAAAGTACCCATTCGTTGTATATAGAGGAAAAGGTTTAGAATCCCTATAATTGTGTAAGTAGGAATAAGAATTATTAAGAATTACTTTCCTTTCTTTTTTATGATTACTTGCATACTACCCTTTCTGTTTTGGGATTACTTGTAAGCACAATATAAACCCCAACATGCTTGAGGGTGAGTGTGTTCATGGTTCGGTTTGGATCGACTTTTTCCTAAAAAGAAACTAAACCAAGTAAGTCGATTTTTCAAATATTAGAACCAAACCAAACCAATTAAGTCAGTTTTTTCTCGATTCGGTTTTTGTTGGTTTTTTCGGTTATTTGTCGGTTTTTCCTTAAATATAAGACATACACTACCAAACTCATATTCCAGCACTACATTTTCAACATAACACTATCAAATCAATTGCCCATTAAGAAATCTATCATTTACCAAGATATATTGATGATAATTGAATCAAATAGTGATGAATAATTTAAGGACTCAATTAAAAATTGATTATTTTTAACATAAAATAAATTCTTAAACTTAACAAAAGAAAACTACCAATCAAACTAGAATGTAAATGCAAAGAACTGTACTAAAAGTGCAAATGATTAACATTTACCATAAAAATTTAGAAACTTTGTACAAAATTATACATTTATATATGTGTGTGTGTAATAATAAATTTGATATAACTGCTTCTATAGTCGGTTTGGTTCGGTCTTTTTCGGTTATTTTTTTGATTAAAACCAAAACCAAACCAAATTTGATCGGTTTTTAAAATTCAAAACGAAAACTAAACCAAACAAAAAAGTATCGGGTTTTTTTGGTCGGTTTTGTTTGGTTTTCGATTTTTCGGATTTTTATGAACACTCGATAATGCCCAACTCTAGTCCTAAAAAGGATAAGCGGTCGCTGCAAATATATCCGGTCTAAAAGTCTGGAGTTGAATCCCACAGAGAACTAAGACTTAGCTATAATTGTTTAATATCACTTGGAAGACAAGCTCGGACAATTTCTAAATGATAATATTAAGATATTTATGGCTAACTAATTAACTAACAAATTAAGGAAGTAAATTAAAAACTAGGGATACTAAGGGTTGGAGAAAAGATTAGGAGGTCTAGAGTTATGATTTTCCCAATTGTCGGAATCCTTCCTGCTAAGTCTTTTATAATTTCGTCCTAGTATTTTCTACCGATCGTGAGTACTCTGAGTGTCGTAGCTCTCTCTCGAGCAACTACCACAATTTACCAGATGTATTCTCTCGAACTACACTAGGTAGCACTAATTCACCGCTCACTATGATCACACCAAGGTTTCGTTATCTCTAATCCCGCCTTTAAACCCTCTATATTGATCTCTGACATACGTTAGGAGTGTTGATTTTTTTTTGATTTGCACCGGGTGTTCGAGCCTCTATGAGCCCCGACTAATCCCGGGGGTTCGCAGGCCCTCGACAAGGAGTTTCCCGCAAGTACACCACGGTTAATTCAGGTTTTACCCAGTTCGATGACCCTTAGAAATTGTTTGCACCTAGTGGGTTTCGAACTTGAGACCTTGAAAGGGAGCAAACCCCAAGGCTCAAGTCAATTGCCACCAGGCCAACCCCTGAGGGTTCATACGTTAGGAGTGATGTTATTCAACAACTACCTAAATATGTATTCTCTCTCGAGTAGTACACACTAAATAGGCACAACCATTCGATGATCATTCAATCAACTGAAATAAACACGTATTTGAACAATTAGATAAATTCAAAGGCTAAATTATATTAAAACATAACAAGAATTCATGATGCAAGAGATTCTATCAAAATCCTAGACGACAAATTAGCTATTCATAAAAGTATGTGAAAACACAGTACTCCAATTCATAACCAACAATAAAAATAAGAAGAAAAATGGGGAAAAACTCGTGGTTAAATCTTGCTCCTAGCGTATTCTTGCCTCGAAGGGTGTTGTCTAACCCTAAAGTAGTTTCTCTCTAGCTTCCTTAGGTCTAAATTATGTCAAAAGTATGCCAAAGGTCCTCAAAATACCGTTTTCCATGTATATGTACCAATTAGGGTCGGGCCCAAACAATTACACCTTTTCTTACACGAAAAAAAAAACACTTTTCCAGGTCAGGATGTCTGCGACCGCGAATTTTGGCCAGTTTCTGCCTCACATCTGCAGCCAGTGCGCGACCCGCACTTTTTGTGCATTTTCACCCTCTTCTGTTTGGAATTTGGAAAAATGTAAAACATGAAAGTTGTAGCCCTTTGAATTAGCTTTCCAACCATATATTGTTGAGATTAAATGGAGTTCTGAGCGAAAAGTTATGTGCATTTTATTAGATAGTGTGCAATATGCCTACTCAGTTCTTCGTTCGTTCTTAACTATCATCTGTTTATCCCCAGCACGATCATAGCTTAATTCTTTGGACTTTTACTCAGACTTCAAAGCGCTAAATCACTTGAATTCATTCCGTAACATCTACATAGCTCGGAATCACTCCTACAAGGCATAAAATACACAATTAGTGCAAAACACTAGCGATTAAAGCTCAAACTCAATTAAAGTGCAGTAAATTAGAGTGTAATAAGCGACTAAAATATATAATTATAGCCTATCATCAACACCCCTACTTGAGCGAATAAAAAAAGCAATTCGTTTTGAAATCTCTTCTTTATTTACAAATATATCGTAGTTAAGAAAAAGTTCATATATGCAATATTAATTTTTTAGCATTGAAACCAAGTTATTGTTTACACTTTCATTAGTTTTGGTATTTGTCAAGATTATTTGTAGTCTAGTTAGAGTTTTGCATGTAATTACAGAGATAAGGTTTCATGATTATATTTCACGGAACAGATATATGGAGGATTTATATAGATGATGACAACTGGCTTGGGATAAAGGTATAGTTGATTACAACTATAACAACCCAGTGGGATTCCACAGTATGGGGAGAGTAATGTGTAGGCAAACTTTACCCCTACCCTGGAGGGCAGAGAGGTTGTTTTCGAAAGACCCTCTGCTCAAGAGGAAGAATAGGAACAAGTAAATAATAACAATAAGGTCAGGAAAATGATATCAACAATATAAGGACCGGAGAAAAATAAATGGAAGAAAGCAGTAGCAATAGCAATAGCTAAACTAATAGCAACAAGCAGTAACACGACTGGGTACTAGAAAGCCGAAATGGAAGATCATACTAAAACAACCGTAATACTGGCATTCTAAGAAATGAAGACAATGTACTAGTCAACTAGCCCTAATAAACCTGGAACAACTTAGAAAAACACACAACCACCTATTACACTTTTACCTTAATCTTTGACCTTTATACCTTCATGTCAAGGGCCATGTCCTTGATATATTGAAGTCGCGCCATGTCCTGCCTGATCACCTCTCCCTGGTACTTCTTATGCCGCCCTCTACCTCTTCTCCTACCTGCCAGCGCCAATCGTTCACACCTTCTCACTGGGGAATCTTGGCTTCTCCTTCTCACATGCCCAAACCATCTAAGCCTTGCTTCACACATCTTATCTTCCATAGGGGCCATACCCACTTTCTCCCGAATAATCTCATTCCTAGTTTTGTCCAACCTAGTGTGCTCGCACGTCTATCGCAACATCATCATTTCAGCTATGTTCATTTTCCGGATACGAGAGTTCTTGACTGGCCAACATTCTGCCCCATACACCATAGCTGGTCTAACCACCGCCTTATAGAACTGACTCTTAAGTTTTGGTGGCTCATTCTTGTCACACGGAACGCCAGATTCTAGCCTCCATTTCATCTATCCCGCTCCTATACGGTGTATGACATCCTCGTCAATCTCCCCGTCTCTTTGGATAATTGACCCAAGATACGTGAAACTTCCTCTCTCGGGAATGACTTGTGAATCAAGCCTCACGTCTATACGAGAATTCATCTTCTGGATACGAGAGTTCTTGACTAGCCAACATTCTTCCCCATACAAAATAGCCGGTCTAACCGCCGCCTTTTAGAACTGGCCCTTAAGTTTTGGTGGCACATTCTTGTCACACGGAACGCTAGATTCTAGCCTCCATTTCATCCATCCCAGCCCTATACGGTGTATGACATCCTCGTCAATCTCCCCGTCCCTTTGGATAACTGACCCAAGATACGTGAAACTTCCTTTCTCGGGGATGACTTGTGAATCAAGCCTCACGTCTATATCTGCTCCACCTGATACTACGCTGAACTTGCACTATAGGTATTCTATCTTCGTCCTGCTCAACTTGAAACCCTCGACTCTAAGGTCTGTTACCAAACTTCCAACTTTTCGTTGCCACTGCCCCGTGTCTCATAAATCAGCACTATGTTAACATAAACCATGGCATCTTCCCTTGAATATGATGCGTTAGTGTATCCATCGCCAAAGTAAATATGAAGGGGCTGAGCTCAGATCCGTGGTGTAACCCCATCCCAACGAAAAAAGTCTCCTCCCATTGTCCTCACCCGAGTCTTAGTTCCATCATACATGTCCTTAATCACTCTAATGTACCTCTGGCCTCCAAGCATCTCCAAAGGACCTCTCGAGGAAACTCGTCGTACGCTTTTTCTAGGTCAATAAACACCATATGTAAATCTTTCTTCGTATACATGAAATGTTCCACCAACCTGACTAACAAGATGGATGGCTTTCGTAGTCGAACGTTCCGGCATGAAACCGAGTTGGTTCTCGGAAATAGACACCGTCTTTCTATCCCTCGCTTCTATCACCCTTTCCCACATTTTCATTGTGTGACTAAGCAACTTGATACCCCTATAATTGTTGCAATGTTGGATATCTCCTATCATCGTACTCCACCTCCACTCCTTAGGCATCTTCTTTGTCCTAAAAGTAGCGTTAAATAACTCAATTAGCCACTCCAATCCAGCCCTACTCTCATACCTCCAGAATTCAAGTGGGAACTCATCCGGTCCGGTCGATCTGCCCCTGATCATTTTACGCTTCGCCCCCTCGGCCTCTCGAAACTAAAGCGCCTACAGTACCTAAAATCACAATTGCTCTCGGAGTGCTCCTAATCGCCCAACACAATGCTCCTATCCCCCTTTTCACGGAGGAGTTCATGGAAGTAAGTCTGCCACCTTCGCTTGATATGTACCTCCTCCATTAAAACTCTGCCGTTCTCGTCTTTGATGCTTCTCACTTGGTCCACATCACTCGCCTTTCTCTCACTCGCCTTAGCCAGCCGAAACAACTTTATGCCCCTGCCTTTGTCCCTCAGTTCTTCATACAAACAAGCAAACACTGCAGTCTTAGCTTCCGTGACCGCCAGCTTCGCCTCTATCTTAGCCTTCTTATACCCTTCTCTGATGTTCCTCTGAATAATTTTGAGTTTTGAATTGTGATCATAGCAGCCTGGTTTTTGATACTTGATGAAGGATCCCTGTTTCTCTTTCTGCCACCAAAATAGTTCACATGCTACTCCTGTGCTGTTTACTTTGCATTATTGAGTCTCCGTCTTACCTACTGCATGAATCCTCAAAGCTTTATCAATTTCTACAGGAACTACCTAAATGTGTTTTTGTGTTACAATTTTTAACTTCCCTTGATTCTTGTCAGTCTTGTGTGTTTAACAAGGGATTTCTGATGGAAGTGGTGGAGATATGAGTGAGTTAGTTGGGAGCTTTTGCTGTAGGTCTTAGACTGATTGAGGCTTATATTTCGGCAATGTCGTGAACGTAAACATCTTGCCAATGTGAATGTATTGCTCTTATCCATTTGTGCCTATCTTTCTTACGTTTAAACTTTACACAACATTCAGGTTTCACTTATAGCAAGCATATTATTTGCGCCAAAGGTATAAAGCTCCCTTCAGCTTCCACAGGATGCAAGTGTCGTGGTTCATGTCTTGATCCAAGAATTTGTTCTTGCGCTAAACTCAATGGTTCTGATTTTCCCTATGTTCACAAAGATGGTGGAAGGTGAGTGCAGTATTTCTCTCCTTTGTCAGAGTATGTTAGTTTAAATTAAAGATGAATATCATTTACCTTGTTTTCTACCATCCACTTGTGCTGCTAACTTTACATGTTGACTTGCACAAGAATTGCCTACTGTCAATGCATGATTATCTGGGCTTACATGCTACGTGTTTCCTTCTTTATGTTATTTGCACTTTGATCTTCTCTTTCACATATAAATAGTGCTCTTTTTCCTCTTATTGTCCTTTTTAGTTCTTTGTTTGGTATATCATGGGTGATGCCAATTTCCAAGCATTGCCAGGGAGATAATGTTCATTTGGAAATGTGGGTCGTGGGATGAGGCAGACATGGTGTAGGGCATGTAATGTTGGTCCACTAGCATAGGTTATTTGGAGAGAGAAATGGGAGAGCTTTTGAAGGGCTAGAGATGATTTTTTGTTGAGTTGAGGAGTAGCCTTCAATCCCATATTTTCATTTGACACCCATAAAGTTCCTTCTTGTGTAAATGATTGGGTGCGTTTCATAGAAAACCATGTCTTTTTGTAGGGTTTCTACTTTTTTGGTATACTTGTATACATGTGCGTTTTGGCCCAAAATTAATGGAATTTATTTACTTTATAAAAGAAAGAATAAATATATTTAGGTCTCTTGGGAGTTCTTGGTGAAATCTCATTGCTCTCTCATGATGCTTTATCTTTTGTGGGCCTTAGGTTATGTCAAACATTATTAATGGTTCAATAAGCCCTGAAGATAGGTGCAAGACATGATATCTGCTTTCCTGAAGTCTCATTTAGCAGGTTCTTTAGTGCAGTCACCAAGACTCGTAAGGCATACGTATCATTGCCAATGGGCGTTATCCTGAAGGGCCATGACACGAAACAGTAAATATTTCTGATTAATAGAACCAAGAATTCTTTAAGGTCCCTGGTCTATTATAAAAAACATTTTCTGGTCCCTGTTATTAACTATTTTTGATTAATAGAACAAAAAATATCTCAATATCCCTTTAGTATGTATATCAATTATCTCGTATCTATTTGGTTTATTATATTTCTGATAGACAATTTGCTTGCCTGTTAGCTCAGTGTAACTATATGAGATAACATAATGCAGTGTTACAAGTGTTAATGTTCTGTTTGCAGTTGACTTGCAATTGAATTCCTTTAACATGCTTTTTATTTTCGGTATATTTTTCTCTGTAGACTTATTGAGCCAAAGGCTGTTGTTTTTGAATGTGGTCCAAATTGTGGATGTGGACCTGCCTGTGTCAACCGCACTTCTCAGAAAGGATTGAGATATCGGCTTGAGGTTCTTTCACTCGTCCATTAACCAGAGTTCAGATTTTTCTATACAGAAGATTATTGCATATTCATTTCTGCCGATGTTTCATTGTCAATGGGAGCAGGTTTTTCGTACTCCAAACAAGGGCTGGGGTGTGAGATCATGGGATTATATACCTTCTGGAGCAACCATTTGTGAATACATTGGTTTTCTAATGAAGACAGATCTGATTGACCCTGCAGCAGAAAACAGCTATGTTTTTGACATTGATTGCTTGCAAACAATGAAAGGGCTGGATGGGAGGGAGGCAAGTGTTCATATATTTGATTCCTCAGTTTTCCTTTTCCGTTTTTCTTATTCATATACATTTCTTCTAGGATTGGCCGAATGGCGTTTTCATAACTATAGTCTTATTCTTATCATTTGCTCCCAGACATAAATTAAAGATTTAGCCATGTACAGATCATCACTCTTTTGTGCTCTCATATTTTTGGCTGTTGCAGTTTTCTCAGAGATCAGGAATCATAATAATAGCAGTTGTGTGCATTGGTCCTTTAGTTTGTTTTTGTTTTCTTATCCATGTCATCTTCTTATGTTCTTCTGTAGAGACGGTTGGGTGAGGTTTCTTTGCCAGGATCCTGGCAGAAGGATGTTGAGAAGACTTCAGATGGAGGGCCAGAGTATTGCATTGATGCAGTCTCTGTTGGCAATGTTGCGAGGTTTATTAATCATAGTTGTCAACCTAATTTATTTGTTCAATGTGTGTTAAGCTCCCATCACGACATTGGCTTGGCAAGAGTGGTTCTAATGGCAGCTGACAACATACCACCTCTGCAGGTTCTTGCTGAATCTTTCTTATTCGTGTGTTTAATGAACTCAATTAAAATTGTTCTTTTTGTTTCTAATTGGACATCAATGGTTAACTTGGTGTGGTAATGGGAAGTGGGGTTGTGATAAGAAGATTTCAAGAATCATGGATAATGTAAAAATATCAACAAAAAGGTTACATGAGATGGATCTTTTGGAGAAGAAGCAGTGAGTAAGCGCTCCAGCTTTTCTAAAGGTTAAAAGGACTGCTGCCTAAAGCCCCTCAAAATCTTGAGAAAGTTTACTTCAGACTTAGCTGAAAATACAGCCTCTCCATGTTTATGCCTTCAGTTTGCACTATTAAGAAGTTGAATAATGTGCTTGGAAATATTCATATAAAAGAAAGTGAACCTATAGAGACTTGTGCAGAGTTAATAATTCATCTCACCTGAAACTCTCTGACTGGAAGCTGTGGCTTCCAAACTATTGAACTCCTCATTGAAAGCTGTAGCTTTATAGTAACTGTTTAGACCAATCAACAGGCTAGAAAAAGGGTTTCTTACTTCAAGAGAAGGAGAAGACGTCTGTTCGCCGGGTTTGGTGGAAGGTGTTTCTCGTTTCTTTTCTTTCCTATTTTTAAGTAGGAGGAGCTTGTTGAAAGTGTTGGGGGCAGAAGTGCACAGGTTTGATTGTGTGATTCAGATCTAGCCTGACCCTTAATACTTAGAATGGTTGGATAAAAATGAACAGAAGAGGGAATTTTATCCCTTATTGGGCAATAATATAATATGAAAAACAGTACGAAGTAGCCTTTATACTATTAAATTGCTTATTGGTTTGTTTATGTTTCCCTGTAGGAATTCACATATGATTATGGCTATGTGCTGGATAGTGTTATGGATCGTGATGGCAAGGTTAGACAAATGGCTTGCCACTGCGGTGCTGCTGATTGTCGTAGGCGTTTGTATTAATGGGATTTATAACCATTCTTTACGTGTTACCTGTAGCACACATTACACATTTTTTGCGAATTTATATGTTGATTTCTCATCATCTGCTCTTCTGCGAAGTGGTTAACGAATGCTGGGAATTTGCCCTAGTGTGTATCTCCCTGTCGCCAAATGAGAAAAGGAACTTGTTCTTTTGATTTCCCTCTCATTGTGAACGTGCATACTCTTGTTAAGTATATATTACCAGGTTCCTGTGACTCTGTCTAGCAGGTCGATTTCTTTTATTATGTTCTGGTTTTCATTGTGCCGTGCATTGATTATCTGTTTTATCCATAGCATAAACTGAAGAGAAATGATGTAAAGTTCGGTACTGGAACGTATTTTTGAGTTTGTTTTGGGACTGCCCAGTTTATGAACCGCCAGTCTTTGACTTCTATGGTAGTGGCATGTCCCAACCCAATGCATTTTCACGTTCCATAAATTTGACTTCAGATAGGGAGATGAGCGAAGAATAGTACAAAGGTTGTGTGTGCATCGCAAGTAATGAAATTTAACTGAAGTGACGCCTGATCAATACATTGATAGTTTTTTTTCCTGTAGATGATAGGTGTGTTGAGAATACTAATATTGGTGATTGTTGAGACTAGTACTTCCTAGTGTGTCGATCTGGAGGGTGAGGCATTAGGTTACGCAAGCAAATGTCTGAGAGGATCTCTCTGATTCCCAACCATGCGAACTGCTTGCGTTTTCATTTCCTCAAATTATACCAATGTTATAGAGAGGCAAATGACTTGTATTTGCAGTTTCTTTTCATTTTGTTATTCGAATGGAGGATGCTCCAAAGATCAAGAATTGATTGTTGTTGATAAGGAAAATTTTCCGCTTTCACTTAAACAAAAGGACAGACAGAACTGGTGGACTCTTTCCAAAATGAATCACACAAAAGTGAAAATCAAGCATTGTGGTCGTCAATGTCCATAATGGCTCTAGTTCTATAGCGTCTGCTATGATTCTGCAAACTTCCAGGTTTAGCTCTGTCAGCTGCATTATACCACTCATCTTCTTTCGTCGGAGAGATTCCACGGCAACAATGCTAAGGGGATATTGTTTTTCTCTCTTGCATTTGTTCTGCCTTAGCGCCTTGCTTTGTGAAGTACCCGTGCGTCCTGAATTTTAGTTTTTCAATTTAAATTTTTGGGACAACAATATCATGAGCCCGTTTAGGCATAAATTTTTTCCCCTTTTTTCCGAAAAAAATTCACTTTTTTTCGAAACCAGCGTTTGTTCATAAAATTTTTAATTTTCACTTGAAGATGCATTTTGAAAATTTCCGAAAATTTGAAAAACTCTAAAAAAACTATTTTTCTAAATTTTCACTCAAATCACTCACAAAACTTCAAAAACAACCCAAACTGAAATTTATGTCCATCTCTAAATTTCAAATACCATTTTCACTTGAAAAAAATTTTCACTTTTTTTTGGAAGTTTACAATTCTTATGTCCAAACGCCTACTTAGTTTAAAATTTTAGGACAAAATAAGTAATGACTAATCTCTAAATAGCATCTTGAGAATGACTATTTGTGCACTTGCCCCAATTAAATGCTATCTTAAAAAACTTTTAAGACACTTCAAAATTCATAACAAGGATTCATAATCAAGGGGAGAAAAACAAAAGAAGTTTAGATAGCATACTGTCATGTAGTCTGGTTATGGGTCTTCATTGTAATCATTCTGGTAATTAATGAAATCTTTAGTCCCAAAAAAAAAAGTGTTTAAGCTATAACCTATAAAGATTAACTTGACACCATAATTAAAAGAACTATTTTGTACTAGTTAATGCAATGTTAGAAGTAATGTATTCATTAACTAAACTTTTGGAATGGCTAACAACTTGTTTGGATGGTTGTTACATATTGTTTCATAATGTATTGTATCGTATGTGAATACAATGTTTGGATAGATTGTATCATTTGCCGTCATTTTAGACTTTTAGGATATCATGCACCAGCAATACAAATAATAGACTTGCACTATTATAAAGAAACATTACGATACGAGTTAAAATTATCATATAAAAAGGTAGTGTAAATGAGAAAATAAAATTATTTAATAATAATAATAAAGGGTGAGATGAGAGAAAAAGACAAGGTAACGACACGACCACACCAAATCGGTCGTTACATAAAATGGCACATTTCGTTGTTACGTAACGATGAATTTAACGATACGATACAATAAAATTTTAGTAACAATTAAAACAAACATCCTATTTAAAAATAACAATATGATACATGCATAAAATGACACATTTCGTCGTTACGTAACGATTGATTTAACAATACGATACAATAAAATTTAAATAATAATCAAAACATACATTTTATTTAAAAATAACAATACCATATAATACAATAGCTAACCCCTATCCAAACAAGCTGTAAATGACGTTTTTGCCAAGTTACACCCNCCTTATATATTTGGGTCTTCAGAGGCTAAAACCCGAGAAGATCAACAGCAGTAACCCCCGCTCGCTATAATCTCCCAGGAAATCTTTGTTGGAATTTCATGTCCATCTTGTCTGCCCATAGCGACAATCATACGGCTTCCTCTTCTTCTTCCCCAAGCTCTCCAAACCCTAACTCCAATCATGGATCCAAACAGCAACAAGAACCCCCTCGCCCACTCGGCGACTCTCCCTCAATTTCCTCCGACAACTTCTCAGGTATTATGCTCTTTTACCTAATTCAACTCTGCCTATGTTATAATGTCATATTCAGGGGCCTACGCAGAATTTTTTGGAAGCGGTATCGAAATTTAGAGAGGGTAACAAATAAAGAGATTGCTTTAATAAAATCATACTTTATGAAAACACAATTTAAATACAGTAGTACAGTTCCCCCCACGAACTTTTATTTTTATAGAATGTACTCATAATAGACTCAGTACAAAAATAAACAAAACAAAAAATCTCTATAAGACAGCAAACATTTACTCAATAGGACGCTGCTTCTTTCAAAAAAATTCCAGAAGAATACTAAAATATTAAGAAAAAAGTTGTTAAACCGTGGGGAGTCAAATGCTTGACCACAAGCAGAAACTGGATTGCTTCACCAACGGGCCAATATAGTTGTTAACGTCAAGTTGTGTCATTTATTATATTTAAACTATATTTCTTATTTTTAGATTATTTACATATATATTAATAAATAAAATTTCCGGCCAAGCGGTGTCGGATGACACCGCTTGGCTCAATGCGCCTCCGCCCCTGGTCATATTGTTGCATTTGTCTTGCGTCATACCTCTTTTTCAGTTGAGTTTTCCTTTTCCTCTGTTTGTTTTTCAAGGGAATGAGTACCTCTATCATAGTACTCTTCAGCTTGCCCAATGTAGTTGTTTTCTCCATATCATGCTTTAGTTTTTGTTTTCTCAGGAAACATGGCTCCTACTACATCACATGCTACTGGCGGATCTTCCAAAAAGGTAAAATTTTGCATTTTGCAGCTTCTCTTCTCTTAAACCATTTAATTATGTAGCTCTTTCACAAATGCACCCCTTAGACGCTAAATGTCATGATCTGTTTTTTAACTCCTTATTTGTTCATTCCATTGCCGGTTACTTGGATGATTTGCTCTTCAAAATACTGCAGGTGAACAACTTCAGTACCAGTCAAGATGGTTTCAGAAGTTTGGGACGTCCCAAAAATGGTAGAATCTCACTGCATGAACCAGGGAAATCAGCTGGGACCATTGATCCTTCCAGCAGACGCGACCATTTTGGCTCCAATAGTCCTCAAGGAATTGCAACGCGCTCAGCTCCAAGAAGAACCCAGATGGTTAGTGGCAACCACTTGCTGAATTTTCATTATGATCCCATTTCTCGTCCACAAACTAGGGCTCCTCCTCCAAGGAGATACATGAAGAGAAAGCCTTACAACAAAGACTTGTTTCTCCAAGCAAATTACAAGTTTGTTCTGTTGGATTCAGGCAATTACACGCCTGACTCAATGGATCCGGACAAAATTTTACAATGGGAGGATATTGTTTGTGTGAGATATTCCACTCCATTTCATGTGCAATGCCCAATATGCTTAGAGGATCCTTTCTGTCCTCAGATAACATCATGTGGTCATATCTTTTGTTTTCCTTGTGTTATGCAATATTTAATGATCTATGAAGACGATGAGCGGAAAGACGATTTCAGGAAGAAATGTCCCTTGTGCTTTATGATGATATCTTCGAAGGATTTGTACACCATCCAAATTGAGAACGTTAAGCAACATCGTGTTGGTGATGCCATAGAGTTTGTCCTTTTGACCCGCGACAAGGATTCATTTACTTTATCTTTGAAAAATAATGATGGCACTGGTGCTACAGAGGAGGTTCAGAAGTCCTTTTCTAAGTTCACATTTACTTCAGATGTCGACCTTTCTGTCCGACAGGCAGTGTCTGATCTTGATAGTTGGTTAGCTAGAGCAGATTCAGGCCTAGTTGATGACATGGAGAAACTTCCCTTTGTCTGTGCCGCAATGGAACAATTGGAGCAGAGGAAGAAATATTGGAATGAGCAACACATTGCTGTCAAAAACAACACTAGCAGAGACAATTATTTGGGAAAGTGTCCTAATGGATCTCTGTCACCAGAAAGTTCTCAGACCCCGTCTGGTCCATCTACTCCAGAAATGCCATCCAGTCATCCCGCTGATCAGCCGATATCGCAGGAGAATTCAACTCTCCATAAGGCAGTGAGGGACTCTCAGCTTATTCAAGCTGCAGATGCTGAATCAGTAGGAGATTGTGTTGGATCTTCATTGACCTTATATGACAATAACAAGAGCGTACAAAAAGACAATAGTGGCGTTACGGACAGAGAAGAGATCAATTCCTACAGTTTCTACCAGGTGAATTTAATTGCGGATCATGTTTTTTGGTATCATATACATAGGGGAGCAATTATTAAATAACCTTTTTTGTGAGTATTTATTTTCTGTAAGTATGTGGAATTCAAACTGCCATATTCTCGAGGGAACATCTCAAACCTTGTCATGTTTTCAAAAGAACATCTTAATCCTTCTCAGAAAAAAGAACTTCTTAATCATTACGTTGTCTTTCTTATGCAAGTACTTGTGTATTACATTTAGATACATGTGTATTGTTAAGAAAATGGACATTTGGCCTAACTCACCCCTAAAGTTAGCT